GTCAAGGGTCGTATATACTGACCCAATAGCATATCTTGAAAACTAGAACCAATCAACAATTTTAAGCATCATTTTCATTCTCAGTGACCCAGAATTAGTAAAGTTTGACTACATTTATTTCAGAAGCATTTTGGCTGTAGAGCAGTGTTATTATATTATAATTATATTATTTCACCCAGTGGTTCCCGCATCAAACCCGTAACTTCTAGTTGAGCTAGAGCAGCTCTTTCAGAAAGACATCCAATACTGAAGACTTCAAGTGATGGAGAATCCACAACATCCCTAGGTAAGTTGTTCCAATGGTTAGTTACTGAGAAAAATTTGCACCTTATTTCTAACCTGAATTTGTCTAATTCCTTTCTTCTAATTCCTTCTTCATTTAGAAAAACTACCAGTTAACTTGGGTTTCTTATCAACCAGCTTCATAGGTCTTGGGTAACGCATTCTTTTGGAGTTAATGGTTAAACTCAAGGGATGAAAGTGATCTGGTTGTTAGTTGTCATAGGGTAATCAGATTCATAAAGCCTGAACAGTTTTCTGAGTACATGTGATCCCTTCAGTGGAAGAGGATCTTGGCAATACCTGGTGCCAGGTTCATTTCAAGCTCTCCGCAAATTCAGGCAGGCTGTATTTGTCACACTCCTCACCTCCTGAAGCTTTGCAACCATAAGAACTAATAATATACTGTATTTTTTTAGAAAACAAAAAGCTAGGAATCTGAAGAACAAGGTAGCAGCCTCAAAAAAGTGTTGGGTACCAACCCAGTTCAAATGGAACCCTGCCTCTGGTAGACAGCAACACTAATATTAATGCTCTACATATACTACAGTAAAGTAAGTTGCTCTGAATTTATTTGCAGTCTTACTTGGAACTGATGTATTGCAGAAAGTAGTTTGTTGCCGATGGTGTTTCCAAGCTTGGAAGCCCAGCATTCTGTACATCTGCTGTTTCATCACTTTCATCTCCCAACTACAAAAGAGATAGACATTTATACACAATTAACAATACCAAAACCAAGATCATCAGACCTTATTGTCTCATATACACTCTTAACAATAAGACCAAAGTGTACTTCCCATTACAACAAATTTCTCCTTGTTGCAAGCTGCATCCCTATAGGAACGCCAGTGTACTGCATTCATATATACCTAAATTAAGAACCAGGGACACCTTCAAGCAGCATTGCAATTGCTTTTAAAACTGTATTGGTCTATATTCAAAAACCTTTCCTCCTTCATTATTAAGTTTATCACAGCTATGTACTTTTTGGACTGTGTTGCTCCCACTGTAGTTCTGGCCAATCTCCCTCCTGTCAGGTCGTGTAGGAGCCACATACTCCCACTGGCCTCACCCACCCCATATGCTTCCATAAAACCCCTCCCTTTAGGGTGTCAATACCTCTTGTTAGTCTAATTCAATTAGCCTATGTTTAGGTATGAGCCTGCTTTGCCTCAGGTCCTCTGACCTTGCCCCTGCAACACTCTTGGAACCTGTGCTGCATGGATTTGGCATGGAGGGACTTCTGGAGGCTCAGTGGGAAGGGGGACCAGATCATTCCCAACCCAGCAGTTCAGAAGAAACACCAAACAACATTGAATATCCCAGAGTTTATTTGTATAACAGTAGTGGGTGTTTTTAGTTTTTACAAGAAAGGACTTCAAAAAGTAGTATCATGAAAAATAACTTTTGCAAAGTGGCCAACTAACTATACTCTGTGTACAAATCCTGCATTTGCACATATAAATCAAAGCCTAAGCACTTGGTTACCATTTTGTTGCCCTAGTGTCCACATTTATGCACAAATGTAGGATTTGCAAATACACTTCATGTGGCTGCTTTAGAAAATAAAGTTTTTACATGATAGTTTGAAAATTGAAATAGGAAGCTAATATGAAATGAAATTAATACTTGTTTTGGCAGCACATATACTAAAATGGGAACGATACAGAGAAGATTGGCATGGCCCCTGCGCAAGGATGACACACAAATTCATGAAAAGGGGGGGAGGGGTAGCTCAGTGGTTTGAGCATTGGCCTGCTAAACCCAGGGTTGTGAGTTCAATCCTTGAGGGGGCTATTTAGGGATCTGGGGCAAAAAACAAACAAACAAAAAACTGTCAGGGACAGTACTTGGTCCTGTTAGGCCTGGTCTACACTACGGGATTAATTCGGATTTAGCAGCGTTAATTCGAATTAACCCTTCACCCGTCCACACAACAGAGCCATTTAGTTCGAATTAAAGGGCGCTTTAAATCGATTTCTGTACTCCACCTCGACGAGCGGAGTAGCGCCAAAATCGATTTTGTTAATTCGAATTAGGGTTAGTGTGGCCGCCACCACCGAATTAATGTGGTTAAAATTAATGGGGTAGTGTGGCCGCACACCACCGAATTAATGTGGTTAAAAACCGAATTAATGTGCTTAGTGTGGCCGCGCACAATCGAATTTATACAACCTGTTTCCCAAATTCGAATTATCTAAATTCGGATTAATCCCGTAGTGTAGACATACCCGTAGTGAAGGCAGGGGAATGGACTCAATGACCTTTTAAGGTCCCTTCCAGTTCTATGAGCTAGAGATATATATATATGGAGATATACCTATGTGTGTATATATATATATATATATATATATATATATATATATATATGCTTAATACTGTTCTGCTTATCCAGGAGATAGAATAAATGGTTACCTACCTAGGAATCTTTTTGTAACTGTTCTTCTTCGAGATATGTTGCTCATGTAGATTCCAAGTAGGCGTGCGCGCGCCACGTGCAAAGTGACCAGAAGGTTTTCCCCTAGTGGTATCCATCAGTTGGCTCTGGAGCCCCCTGGAGTGGCACCATATATAGGGCCCTGCCGACCCCCCGCCACTTCAGCGCCTTCTTGCCAGCTGACTCCAACAGAGGGGTAGGTGGGTGGGTCTTGGAATGGACATGAACAACACATCTCGAAGAACAACAGTTACGAAAAGGTAGGTAACCGTTTTTTCTTCTTTGAGTGCTTGCTCGTGTCGATTCCAAGTAGGTGACTCCCAAGCAGTTCCTAGGAGGAGGGGTCAGAGTTCATTGCGTCGCGGATTGTAGCATCACTCTACCAAATGCGGCATCGTCCCTGGCTTGTTGTGTAATCGAATAATGTGCAGCAAAGGTGTGGATTGAAGAACATGTTGCAGCTCTACAGATGTCCTGGATCAGGATCTGCGCCAGAAAGCTACCAAGGATGCCTGCACCCTTGTGGAGTGTGCTGTCAGTGTGGGGGCAGGTATCTTTGCCAATTTGTAGCACACTCGGATACAGGACATGATCCACGATGACATTCCCTTCATTCTGTCTGCTATTGCCAAGAAAAGCTGAGTTGTCTTTCAAAATGGTTTTGTCTTTTCAAATAAAAAGCCAATGCCCATCTAACATCGAGGGAATGGAGCTTTTGCTCTCGGCTGCTGGAGTTTGGGTAGAAGACTGGAACAAAAATGTCCTGGTTTGAGTGGAATTAAGAGACTACCTTCGGAAGGAAGGCTGGGTGAGGTCGCAGTTGGACCTTGTCCTTACAGAAGATCATGTAAGGAGGCTCAGATGTCAGGGCCTTAAGTTCAGATAGCCTCCTGGCTGGCTAGAGCCACCAGGATCGCTACTTTCCAGGAAAGGTAAAGTAGTGAACACGTTGGTAAGGGCTCAAATGGGGGCCCCATTAGTTTAGACAGCACCAGGTTCAGATCCCAAGCAGGGATCGGTTGTTGCACTTGAAGGTGTAACCTATGTAGTCCTTTAAGAAAATGGCTGACAATTGGGTTAGCAAAGACTGATTGGCCAGCAACCCCTGGATGGAATGCTGAAATAGCAGCCAGGTGAACTTTTATTGAGGACACTGACAGGAGGGTGGTGAAGCACTGAAATGGGTTCTCTAGGGAGGTGGTGGAATCTCCTTCCTTAGAGGTTTTTAAGGTCAGGCTTGACAAAGCCCTGGCTGGGATGATTTAGTTGGGGATTAGGTCCTGCTTTGAACAGGGGGTTGGACTAGATGACCTCCTGAGGTCCCTTCCAACCCTAGGATTCTATGATAGACCTTGCTGCTTGAGGTGTAACAGATAGTCTAAGATGACAGGTACTGATGACTGCATAGGTGGAGTGCCCCTTTGCATTGACCAAACTGAGAAGCTTTTCCACTTAGCTATGTACGTGGCCCTAGTGGATGGTTTCCAGACCTGAGCAAGCCAACTCCAAAAGGTTTAGCCATGGAGCTTCCATGCCATGAGATGGAGGCACTTGAGATTAGGATGCTGAAGGTGGCCATGGTCCTGCATGATCAAGTCTGAGACTAGGGGCAGACTGATTGGGGTCTCCACTGACAGGTCTAGGACTGTGGTACATCAGTGCTGATGGGGTCAGGCTGGCACGATCAATATCAAAGACAACCCTTCCCGTCTGACCTTCAGGACAACTTTGTGAATGAGTGGGATGGGTGGAAATGCATAGAACAGATGGTCCTTCCAGGGAAGGAGGAATGCGTCTGCAATCGAGCCTGAGCTGTGATTCAGGAAGGAGTAGAACTGCAGACACTCCCTGTTTTGTCTTGTTGCGAACAAGTCTATATGGGGAATCCCCATCATTGGAAGGTGCTGTTCAGGATGTCTGGGCGAATGGACTACTTGTGGTTGTAGAAAGACCTCCTGAGATGGTCCGCCAACTTTTTCTGGGATCATAGAATCATAGAATATCTGGGTTGGAAGGGACCTCAGGAGGTCATCTAGTCCAACCCCCTGCTCAAAGCAGGACCAATTCCCCACTAAATCATCCCAGCCAGGGTTTTGTCAAGCCTGACCTTAAAAACCTCTAAGGAAGGAGATTCCACCACCTTCCTAGGTAACCCATTCCAGTGCTTCACCACCCTTCTAGTGAAATAGTTTTTCCTAATATCCAACCTAAAACTCCCCCACTGCAACTTGAGACCATTACTCCTTGTTCTGTCATCGGGTACCACTGAGAACAGTCTAGATCCATCCTCTTTGGAACCCCTTTTCAGCTAGTTGAAAGCAGCTATCAAATCCCCCCTCATTCTTCTCTTCTGGAGACTAAACAATCCCAGTTCCCTCAGCCTCTCCTCATAAGTCATGTGCTCCAGCCCCCTAATCAGTTTTGTTGCCCTCCGCTGGACTCTTTCCAATTTTTCCACATCCTTCGTGTAGTGTGGGGCCCAAAACTGGACACAGTACTCCAGATGAGGCCTCACCAATGTCGAATAGAGGGGAATGATCACGTCCCTTGATCTGCTGGCAATGCCCCTACTTATACAGCCCAAAATTCCGTTAGCCTTCTTGGCAACAAGGGCACACTGTCGACTCATATCCAGCTTCTCGTCCACTGTAACCCCTAGGTCCTTTTCTGCAGAACTGCTGCCTAGCCTTCGGTCCCTAGTCTGTAGCAGTGCATGGGATTCTTCCGTCCTAAGTGCAGGACTCTGCACTTGTCCTTTTTGAACCTCATCAGGTTTCTTTTGGCCCAATCCTCTAATTTGTCTAGGTCCCTCTGTATCTGATCCCTACCCTCCGGCGTATCTAACCAGAAGGGATCCCAGAAGGTAAGATGCCTCTAGGTGTATCGAGTGTGTTATGCAGAAGTCACACAGCTTGAGGGCTTCCTGGCATAGGAGAGAGGAGCGTGCTCTACCCTGTCTGTTTATATAAAATATCATTGTTGTATTGTCCGTCGTGACCGATACACATTTTCCTTCCAGATGGGCTTGGAAGGTCTGGGAGGCCAGGCGTACTGCTCTTAGCTCTTTGCCATTGATGTGAAGCGAGAGCTCTGCTTGGGACCAGAGGCCTTGAGTCCAGAGCCTCCCTAGATGCGCTCCCCACCCCATCACTGAAGCATCTGTAAATAGAGTCAGCAAGGGTTGAGGTCTGGAGAAGGGCACTTCTGTCCAGACCGTTTGAGGATTGACCAACCACAGGAGAGTCTTGATGGC